TTAAAGTGCTATCAATTTGAATGGACTCAAATGTAGCCTGAAAAGAATAGTATTATAAATACATTTGAAAACTATTAATTACATTTACCTGAAGAAGACAATTAATTTTCATCGAACTGTTTTTTATCTTGTCTTTTGACTTGAAACGCAGATTTTTGCTGTACTCGTTGAGAAACTTTTTTTCTGACACACGAAGGATGATATCACTTGACAGCTCTTGGCACTCACTCAGTTTTTCTAGAAACATTTTTAAATTGAAACCCTCCTTGAGCATTTTGAGGAGCAATTCGGTTGACTTGATTGAAATTCCATATCGAGTAACTATGCGAGCGAGGTGAGTGGGCTCAAATGAGTTACTTTCCGGCTTCATATTGATGAGACTCAAATTAGCCAACTTGTTGATGTTCTCGTGAGACCAGTTGAAAATGAATGGAAGTGATCCTTCGATGTCTCCCTTGGCTATTGAGCTACCGTAGTAAGAAGGATTGGAAACAATTCGAATGTACATGAATGTAGAGCAGATCCAGNCACAGTGCGGAGAACAATTTCTATCATTAGTTGCTCAATTAAGGTTAACGGCAAGACACTTTCAATTGCTTTATCAGAGTTCAGAAGCGTGTCGTAGAAGTTCTTTTTGCTTGTCTCCGTCATTATGACTGCTTTTGCAGTGACGTCAAACTGAGGGCGTCCAGCACGACCTAAAAAGATCAAATTAAATCGAATTAGCACAATCAAAATGAGAATGAATGTATTGCTTTTACCAATCATTTGCAAAACTTGAGCAGAATCGTACTCAATTGTCTTTCCAGCCAAGTACTGCACAGTATTCTTGATAATGACCATATGAGCGGGCAAATTGACTCCCATTGCCAATGACGAAGTTGAAACCAAAACTGGAATGAGCGACTTGGCAAACAACTTTTCCAGCAAACGACGCTCGGCAAGATCCATGCCCGAGTGGTAGAAGCCAACACCAGAGGCCAAACACGTCTTCAGATCAACGTTTTTAAAATAATTTTCGTTGTCGTAAATGAAACCACTTGAAATATCAAAATTAGCATTAATGAGCTTAGAAACTTCGTTGAAGTACTCATCACGATGGCTGTCGCTGAAAAAGTAGGTTTCATTTGAAGCCGCCAAAATTTTGGCTGTAAACTCAACAGATTTTCGAGTTGAAGAGAACACAATTACAGGTTTGGAGTCCGAGTGAGCACGAATGATGGCCTCCACTTTATAGGACAGTTGAATGTCGAAACGGTACTCCGAAGCTCGAGCTGATGGGTTAGGGTCATAACCCAAAACGATCTTTTCAAGCTTGACAGGTCGCAAATCTTGGGAAATCGTCACGCCTATTCCGTTTGAGCTGTCAAGCCAAGCAACAACGTCACTGACGTTAGGAACAGTGGCAGAAATAGCGATAAATCTCAGTGGCGACAAGCACAACTCTGAAATGTGAAACAATTCGTTAACAACGGAAAAACAAAACGTTTACATCATTACGTGATAAAAAACTGTGTTTAGAGCGTAAAGCCTTGATTCGCGTAATGGTCGCTTCGAGGACATCTCCTAAAAGTTAAAATTGAAAAATGATAAAAAACATTAGAAAAAAACAAAACAACAAGTTACCTCGCTGTTGATCCGAAAGCATGTGAACTTCGTCAATCAAGATTAACTTGAGAACTTGCAAAAGCCCTCGACTTCGGGGATCAGTTCGAATGACGTGATCAAACTTCTCGGGAGTT